TCAGCAAGTGCTTCCTAGCACCCAAATTGGACCTTGGCTCCCTGAGCTTTGCTCCGTTGGAGCGCTTCCTGCCTTCCTCTGCAGGGGAGAACAGGTCCCTACCCACCTCCGTGTGACACCCCCTCACATACCTGCATGTCGCCAACATATCCCCTCTGAGTCTCCTCTTCTCCAGGCTGAAGAGACCCAGTTCCCTCAGTCTCGCCTCATACGGCATCCCCTGCAAACCGGCCACCAACCTTGGGGCCCTACGCTGTCCCCTAACCTGGCATGTTTGGGGTTTGCCCTTCTGATCCCTGGCTGTGCTACCAGACTGGAGGGAAATTTTGGCAGGGGAGATAGGGGGCTGCCAGGGGCTGGCCTGACCCCCAGTAGCTCACTGAGGTGTGGTCTGAAATGGGGATAGAACAACACAGGCGCTGAGTGAGAGAACAGCGAGAAGCGTGCCTGATTTTTCTTTTAATTTCATCTCCAGCTCATAACGGGGTGTTTTACAAGATTGGGGGAGGCCCCGGCGGCCTCCCAGCAAGAACGAAATCCCAGAACGAAACGGAATCATTGAAGTGGCAACCTTCAACATGCTTACCTTGGAGTAATCTCCTGAATGTGCTGGGACTTACTCTTGAGGAGTCATGTGTAGGATCACTGAGCAGAGCTAGAAAATTATTAGCCTCCGTTCCGGATCTTCAGGATCTTGGGAAAAGAATGTCAAACCAAAGCGCGCCATTCCCCGTGACCGCCTGCTTGCCGGGCATTCAGCCCATTCCCTGAAAAAGGAGCCCGGGGCTCGTGTGGCTGGGTTAGAAGCAGACAGCCCTTTCCCACCATCCCCTGCTGCCTTTCCTCCTTTCAGAGCCGTCAGACTAAAACTGCCATCATCCCCAGCAGACTGGCCTGGGTGTGATGGGCAGTGCAGTCCACACCTGCAGAGGGGGCCAGTGGGCTGGGGGAGAAGGCAGATTTGCCGATCTGGACTCGGCGGCCCAATTGCCGTGTCTGCTGCTCTTGTGGGAAGGATGGCGGGCCAGCTCTGTCCCAGCACCATCCTCATCTCTACTTATGGGGTGGAGGAGTCCAGGAGGGAGATCAGCTTCCCCACACACACCTGGGCAGAGCCAGACAAGGGGGAAAGACAGGCCTGTAAGCCCAGCTCTGCGAATCACGTCACTTGCTTTGCATTGCACCTGAGAATTAGGGACCAGAAAAGCCAGCTTTAAAGCTGGAGGGACACAGCTATCGCCCCCTTGGTGTTTCTAGCAAAGTACCTCCTTCCAAGGAATGTCACCTGAATTGCTGTGCAGGTGGCATCCTAAACCGCAGTTATCTTCACAGCCGCTGTGCTGGGGTACCCAGGTCTGCACACTGCAGCAAAAGCCGCCCCGCATTTGGTGGCACCCTAATCTATCCCAGCATGAGCTTTCAGGGACACTGTCCGGGCTCACACATCACAAGCGACCCGCACGGCTTCCATGGTGCACAGGCTTCTGCCTGCATGTGCCTGGCAGACCACCAGGTGGTCTCCACCCTCCGCACCCAGTCCTCCTGCTGTTGGCATATGTCCCCTCAGCCCCCCTGTCTGGATGGCTGGAGCAGCCCCCCAACCTGCCACACTTCCCTGGGGTTCTGTGGTAGAGGCATACCAGGGTCATGGTGCCCCTCATGCCTAGGTTTGGACAACCAGAGAACCCAAGGTGCAGCATGGGGACTGAAGAACCAGACCGTTGCTCCTTGCAGCGGTTTCCAAAGGCCGACGTCCCGTGCCGAAACACCACGGCAGGGTTCGGAGGGGCCATTCCGGGCAGGAAGCCCCCCTGGCTTGTCGCAGTGCATGACGCCACCCACGGTCTCCAGCACCCGGGCAGGGAAACGCTGTTTCCACACAGGCCTCTGCCAGAACGAATGTTCAGCTTTGAAGCAGTGCTGAGGAAGCTGCTCCAGCCCAGGAGCCAGCTTTGCTTCAGAGACGCCAGCAGCCCACGTTCCATCGAGGCGGAGAAGCAATACCAGCCCCTTTTAGCTCAGAGCTCCTGCTGTCAGCTTCCTGTGCCTTTGGAGAGGCGTTTCAACTTCTGAGAATGAGGGAAACGCTGCAGAAGAGATGAGAAGCGACCCGGAGATCTGTGCATGGGAGAAGTGGGCATGGCTGGGAAAGGGGATGTGGGCTGGGAAAGAGGTGGGGACATTTAAGGACCCATAGCGCCAATGGGGAGCCCAGCTTTTGGCCCCCCGGCTGAGGTTCTGCACCCCCTATTGCACAGGCTTCCTTTTCAAGTATAACCCAGAAAACAGCTTTGTTATGCACCCTAAAAGGATAATGTGTGAATTCAGCCTCTGTTTATAGGATTGTTCTTATGGGTGAGTCAAACAGGGTTGCTTAACTGAAAAAGAAGCCTTGAGAAAGTTACTGCCCGCATGGAGATACACTGGAATGGCTTTATCCTAAACAGTCCGTGCCTGGATTCAATTCATCTGAATTCATCTGATTGGGATGCTAAGAAATATTTCACATGTCATGCACCAATCCCAAAGAAAGAGAAAAGAGGAAATGAGTATCCAACATGATAAAGATTATTCTTGCCCAGGGGGATTTTAGTATAACTCTAGAAACACCAGAATCCAAAAGTCGATTCCTATGCTGCTCCCTGCTTTCATTTGGAATGGGGAGCAAATGACGCCTCGAGGCGAGCCGGGTTGCTTTCTTTGGAGAGACGGGAACCAGGTAAGTCTTGGACAGACCCTTTCCTGGTCAACCTGAGTGCATAGAGAGCACCACTTCCGGCTGTCGGTGGCAACCCCCGTGGCAGAACACTCCAAAACTCAGGAATTACCATGCACGTAGAATGCTAGCAGCTCAGGGAGAAGGCTAGCTGGAACTCTTCTCCGGACAAGCCGGTTTTCAAGACACAAGGAGTTCTTTCTTAGTGGTGGCCTGCTGGGAACAGCCCACCCACCCTCAAAGTCTGAATCGGTACGGCCTCGAAGGTTTACCTCGCTGCATTCAGCATCAGGGGATGGAGCCGCCCCTCCAGGTGGAAGGCTGGACATTCCAGGCAGGGTCTGTGGCCCATGCCAAAAATGGTTCCGCACCACAGATGCTTTAATGCCCAGCCAACTGCGCAGGGGTCCAGCTGCCCCCCCCCCCCCCGTGCTGCTTCGCTGCATCCTGCGTATGGAGACATGCTTCCTGGCGTCCTTTGACCCCGGGGAGCAGCTCAGCGGGTCCTGCAGCGTTGGCAGCGCAGTTGGGCTAAGTGGGATGGGCAGCTCCGGGCCCGCCTCTTCCGCCGTCTTAGGGTTTTGCTCCGGATTTGGATCCTGCAGAAGGAAGACGGCCTTCAAGGAAAGCGCCGCAGGCCGGAGGGCCCAGTCCAGCCCTCAGACGGCCTTCTCCGGCACCAGCCTCTCCCCCAGCCAGCAGCCGTTCTGGGGACGGGGTGTCCTCCTGGCTTTGGTACACTCACCCCATCCTAAAAAGCTGAAATACCGACTCCAAGGCAGAGTTGCTTCAGGAAGTGCTCTAAGTGGCTGGTATTTGGGGTGTGATGGCTCCGCCCCTTTGCCCCCTGGCCCCGCCCACCCATGCTGCCCTCAAGAGCTTCCCCAAAGGGGCATCACCCCCTGAGCTGCACCCCTGAAACAGAGGAATGTCTCTGTAAAGTAAGAGCCACGACCATCCTAAGCAATACCGGAACCGACACGATGTCTGGAAGAGGTCTAAGCACTCCAGTTCACTTTGGGTGAACAGGGAACAAGAACCTCGGCTATAAAATAAAACAGAATATAAAACTGAAATAAATAAGGTGTGTCTAAACAAGGCAGTTTAGAATGGCATCATTGACACCTTGCAGTGAATGAGAGGCAGTGTTGCCTAGTGGGGAGAGGGTTGGACTGGGCCAGCCCCTGCCCCTCAGCCTGACCTACTTTGCAGGGTGCCAATGGAGAGGAAATGGGCCTTGTCGGTCACCTTGGCTTGCTTGTAACGAGGAACGAAGGCGAGGATAAGTAAAATAATGAAGGAAGCAATGGCCAGTCACTCTAAGCCCTTGGACAGGACGAAATATGGTGGGCTGAGGCAACCAGGAGCATGGGCAAGAGGCACAGCAAGAGGGACCCTTCCGCCCAGGCTTGCTTTTGTGAACTAACCATCCCGTGCCGAGCCACGGAGAAATGCTCGTCCTGCCACGGGTACGCTGAAAGTCCTCCCAGGTTCGGGGCTGCTTCAGTCATAGTGGATTATTTTAGGTACATGCCAGAATGTCGTGTAAAACGTGTCGGAAAACAGGTGAATGAAGCCAACACACGCCCTGCACACATGTGCGGATCGTGGGCCTGGGGATTCCCCCCCCCCCCGCTGCCGCCATTCATCTGAAGGGATGTGGCGAGCTCAGGAAGGGGCTGGTGCGGCCGGCCGGGGGCTTCTGCACACGCGATGGACATGCCGCCCTTCACGGCTCCTGCACGCGCGCGTGCCCTGAGGTATCGCGCTTTCGGGATGCCCTCGCTCCCAGCCTTGTTCCGTCCTCCCAGGCCACCCAACCACTCGAGCGGTCACCCCGCTATGAGGCCCGGGGAGGGCTCCTCCCCATTTCTCATTTCCGTCCGGGCCCCTCTAAGCCTCCCGCTCCTTGCCCACACCACCCGCGTCGGCAGCCCCAGGCCAGGGCGCAAGCGACTGCAAACCGCCAGGATTTCACGTGCATGGGGGGGCCCAGCGCACTGCGCCCCCCATTGTGTCAGTCACCTTCCCATCATCCACAGAGCGGTCCCTAAAATCCCACATGGGGCCAACCTGGCTGCACCAGGCACCGGGCGCCCCGTCCCCGCTTTCTCCAGCAGGTCGACTTGGCAGGTAGCACTGTCCTCCAGCTCAGGGGCCAGGCCTGGGGAGGGGGTCCTCCTGGGGAAAGATCCAGAGCGGGCATGCGGCAAGGCACTGAGGGGCGGCGGGGGGCGCTGCGAGGGTCCGTGGGGCGGGGGGACGGGCCGGGCCCGCGCGGGCCTCACATGATGGCGCATCGGTTCCTGCGCAGCGCGCCCTGGAAGCGGAGGGCCGCGTGCACGTGCTTGCAGTGGGCGCAGCCCGCGCTCTTGAGCAGCTCGCTGAAGAGCAGCAGGATGTGCCAGTTGTACTTGGCCGAGCACTCCACGTAGCCGCATTTCCAGCTCTTCCTCACCAGGTTGGAGACATTCCAGCGCGGGATGACGCGGCCGCGCTGCAGGTCCCGCTTGTTCCCCACGATGATGATGGGCGTCTCCGAGGTGCCGATCACCCTGTGCGGGAAAGGCGGGTCAGCCGCGCTCCTGGGGCCCCGGAGCGTGTTGCCCGGATCAACTCCCCCCGGGCTCTTGAGCGGGACCCCCTCCTTTCGGAGCCACCTGCCCAGGGTCCTCCTCCGGCGTGGCGCACGTGACCCTCCTCATCTCCCTGTCTGCCCTCAAGCATCCCCGTGACGCAGGCCAGAGACTGTGACTGGCCCAAAGTCGCCCAGCTGACTCTCAGCTGAGTGGGGACTGGAGCCCCGGTTGCTCAGGCCCAACCGGGAGGCACAAACCGTTCTCCTCCCCTCGCTCAAGGTCCCTGCGCACGGTTCCTGGTCTCGGCTTCCACATTTCGAGTTTCGCTCCCAGAGAGGGAGCCGGAACGACTGTCTTCTCCCTGATAGCCCAGGAGCAAATCCCTCCACGCCGTCTCCGGTGAAGCGGGCTCCATCACGGAGTGCCACTGCAGGGGCTTCCGTCTTCCTCCTCCAGCAGCCTCTGAGGCGCCAGCCGCTCCTTTCACGGGTGCGCGCCCCTGCTATTTGGGAAGGTGCCCCGAATACCTGTGGCCCTGGGGACCAGGTGCCATGGCCTCCTTGCCCCATGGCTGTCCACTGCTCAAGCAGGATCAGGAGGAGGGCAAGGGGGGTGACAACGGGGGTGGGCGGGGGGAGCCGCCGTGCCCTCCAGAGCGTTGGACCAGCACTGCCATGGGGGGTCAAAGTAGACACTAGACTTGGCATGTTCAGTGCAAGGCACACAGCCCGCTGGTCCAGTGCACTGACTTCACTGGGCTGAACTGCATTCACAGGAATTTCGGTCAGTGGGAAGCTGCTGCTGCTCACAGCAGTGGCCCTTGAGAGTACCGATGCTATCATCCCCAGCCACGATGGCCAGGGGACCCGTCAGGGGAAAGCCATGCCTTTTCTTCGTCAACAGAGGTTCTCTGCCCCGGAGGCGTCTGTGAACCTCTGCCCTGCGCCTTTTCCCTGGCTTGACCACGCGGTTGCCTCGGGGTGAGGGGCAGTGTGCCAAATACATGGATACCCAAGGCAGCCTGCATAGTCCATGTTTATCCTCACAACACCCCTGTGAGGTGGGCTAGGCCGAGAGTGAGTGGCCCACGCTACCCAGGGAGTTCCATGGCCGAGCGGGGACTGGAACCGCAGGCTGCCTCTCGGCCCATGCAAACCAGGCGCTGCACCCCGAGGACACGCCGCCTGTCTCCAGCATCCTGCAAGTGAAGCTGCGGGAAGGGCCTCAGAGGACGCCGCTCGCAGCCGTTCACGCTCCTGCTGAGCTGCTGTTTGGCAGGACGCCAGTCTCTTTTTGGAAGGGCTGCACATGTTCCTTGCTGCAACGCATGTTGCGAAGCGGCGCCTCGCATTCGGCATCGCCGCTCGGCGGGAGAAAAGGCTTCCATGAAATCTGTTCCGTCAGCATTCCATGGATGGTTGGACACCCCCCATCATCTGTTTGTTGGAAAGCCAATTTTTAAACCCAGCCTTTGCTTCTGCTTGCACTTATCTGCATCGCCACAGGTGTGCATTCACATTAAATGCACATGAATAGTGCAAATCCCACACACGCAACACAAGGGAGAAATGAGTCTGCAAGGAAAAAGCCAGCCTGCTGCAGAATCTGTGGGCCACAGTCCATTGTGGAATTCTCCAGCATGCCTAACAGTTGAGTGCGGGCAGGATCCAGAAGGTCTGGGTTCTAGTCCCTGCTTGGGCCAGGAAACTCACGGGGTGCCCCTGGTCCCCTCGGTGTCTCTCGGCTCGGCTCCCAGGGTGACTTGGGCCAGCCACTCACGCTCAGCCTAACCTACCTCGCAGGGGTGTTGTGAGGACGAAAAGGGAGAGGAGGGGGGTCAGCTCAGCTGCGCTGCTCCTTGGAGGAGCGGCAGAGGGGGCAAGACCTTGATGCGCGCAAAAGGGCGGGGGCCCTGGGCAAAAGGTGGGCGGGGGCCGTGTGTCCAGTGCAGGGGGCGCTGCCCGAGGAATGCCATGGCTGAGCCCGGCCTCTCCGCCCCGTCTGCGGTGGGCCAACGGGGTGGCCCTGGGGCTGCGCTTTTACCTGGTTTCCAGGATCTGCTGCCGGATGGTCTTGATGTACTCGAAGCTGTCGAAACAGCAGATGTCATACACCAGGATGTAGGCATGCACGCTCCGCAGGCCCCTGCAGCAGACGTCGGCCCACTCCTGAAAGACAGACGGGGGGCGTGTCAGGGCACGCGCTGCGCATGGCCCCCCCAGCGCCCAGGCCCGGAGAGGCGTCGAAGGCGTCAGTGATTCCACAGCACAGACTCCCTGGAGTCACTTCTCCCCTTCCCACAACAGCAGGGCCGAGCCTGCCCCTCCGCCTGGCCCGCCTTGCAGGGTTGTTGTGATGGTAAATGGCGCGGAGAGGACAGCCTTGTGAGCCACCTGGTGGTGGGCTCTGCGGCCTGGGCTGGACATGCAACGCGGCACAGTAGTGCTGAACTGGCAGTCACAAGATCTGGGTTCTAGTCCCACTTGAGGCTTACTGGGTGCCTTTGGGCCGGTCCCTGCTTCTCAGCCGAACCTACCAGGGCTGTTGGGAGGATAAAACAGAGAGGAGTGGGGGGCTGGGGAAGCTGTCTTGGGTTCCTGGCATGAAGAACAAGGTGGTACAGAAAATAGAAACAGAAACAGGGCAGGTCAGAAGGGACCTCCGGGGCCATCTAGTCTGACCCCCGGCTCCGCTCATGACACACCTACCTTGTACATGTCCAGCCTATCCTTGAACATCCTCCCCGATGGGGCCTCAACCACCTCCCGTGGAAGCCCATTCCACACCCTATAAGATGATGATGATGATGATGATGATGATGATGATGATGATGATGATAGCAGCAACAGGAGGGGAGCAAGAGCGAGATGCCAGTGAGAAACCCAGACTCACTGAAGGAGGGGGACCCTTTGAGAGTATCTTGCCCAAGAGAGCAGTTCATTGTAAACCATTCAGAAAGCCATTTGGCTAATCTGGATGGCATATACAATTTTAATAAATATCTGAAGAGAACCTCAAATCTTGAAGCTGGCACTGACACAACAGCAGGCAAGAGCATAGTATAAGCTACAGAATCAGGCCTAGGTGCCAAAGTTAAGCTTTAGTTTTGCTTGCAAAATAAGCTTCTGGTCCCTCTGATTGCACAGGTATGATGGGCAGTGTGTCAGTGATTCATGGTAAAAGTCTCTCCCAATCCAGCGGCTTTGTCCCATATAGGATTTCCACCAGTTGAGGCAGATTCAATTATGAAAAAAATGGGAGAATTGCAGAATAATATGTAAGATACTGGATCAAAGCAAATGTGCAGGGCTTGTACTGGTACCTGAGGCAGAATTAGCAGCACCTTGGCACCCCTTGCTACTGCCCTAGTGTAACAAAATTTGACCTTTGCAATGTTTTCTCCAAAAGAAAGAAAGAAAAGGAAAGGAAAAAGACAGGAGCAAACTACTTTCCAGAGAGAGGGTTAAATAAAATTACTTTGGGAACTTCAAACCCAAGCTTCAAACCCAGTTCAAAATTCTAATTACACTGGCTCTCTGAATTGTACTGTTTGTGTGCATTGTCCGAGCATGTTTTTATATGCAATTTTGCCTAATGTACAGCAGGTTTGCCTGGTTTTCTTAGCAGAATACACTTCTGAATGCTGTTTTTTAAAAAATAGATTCATGATTGTGAGCACTTTTCCTTACTATATGCATTTTGCATACACATTAAAATTTCCCTGGAAAATACCTTTGCCAAATTTGGAGAAATATGAGTTTGAAATAGCCAAGCATTAGTTTGTACATTGATGCCAAAATGAAAAATTAGAGAAACTGAATGGATTTATCCCCAGAAACTAGGGCTGTGGGGTTCTAAGAGTTTGATTTGTATAAATCCCAACCACAGCTTCTACAGCAGACTGTTGTTGTTAGTCACGAAGTCATGCCTAACCCATCGCGACCACATGGACAACATTCCTCCAGGCCTTCCTGTCCCCCACCATCCCCCAGAGTCCACCCAAGCCCACACCAACTGCCCCAGTGACCCCATCCAGCCACCCCATCCTCTGCCATCCTCTTCTTCTTTTGTCATCAATTGCTCCCAGCATTAGGCTCTTCTCCAGGGAGTCCTTCCTTCTCATTAGGTGGCCAAAGCATTTGAGTTTCATCTTCAGGATCTGGCCTTCTAAAGAGCAGTCAGGGTTCATCTCCTCCAGGACTGACCGGTTTGATCGCCTTGCAGTCCAAGGGACTCGCAGGCATCTCCTCCAACACCACAATTCAAAGGTCTCAGTCCTTCGGCGCTCAGCCTTCCTTATGGTCCAGCTTTCAGAGCCATGCATTGCAACTGGGAAAACCACAGCCTTGACTATATGCACTTTTTTTGGCATGGACTTGCAGACCACTTGCTTAAAATTTTGCCAGAATGTTATGCAAATTTAGTTATAAAAGAATAAGGAGAAAAACCACTGAACCAAAGCGCACATTTCCCTGCACAGGATAAAGTATGCAGAATTATCTCTCTAATGTGCACAAACATTTCCAAATGCAAGTTCCAGCAATGGGGGAAGAAAAGATCCCATCAGCGGTATGAAAGGTTCCAGAAAATACAGATGGAGCAAAATCAGTGCGTTCCTACAGCAGCCCTGCACGGGTTCTCGGCAACCGTGAGGACACGGAGTGAAGAAGCTAAGACCTCCGTGTGGGACCGGGGAGCTCCGAGAGGAAGCTCAGGGGCTCGTCCGAGGCCCTCCGCCTGGCTTACCTCGCAGGGCTGCTGTTGCGAGGATGGAATGGAAAGCGGGAGAACCTTGTAATCTGCTTTGGGTTCCTTGCAAGAGGAAGGGAGGGGGAGTTAAAATATCACCCAGCAACAATTTCAAGGGGTAACTGCAGGAGGCAACCACAGCGCTGCCCTTGGGAAAGGCCAGCCTTGCTGCTCACGCAGGATGCAGCATGGATCCAATGTGCGCACAAGAAAAGTTATTGGGTGCTTTGAGAAATTGGAACTCCCAGGCTCTGGACTCCTGGAGGACCCCCCTCTCAAACGCACAACGGCAGCGGCTGCACAGGCCACAGAGAATGGAGAGGAGCCAAGCCACACTTGCGTGCAAGTGCGGAAGGTGGTGCCTGGCTCTCCCTTTCCTCCCCTCCCCGTCTCGTATACCATGTTTTTGGACAGTCAGCCTGTGGGCAGAAACTGCCTTATTAATTCCACATAAGCTGCTCTGGGAGTTTTTTGGCTGGAGAGCAGGGAACGAATGCAATAATTTAAAAAAATCATTCATTCATAATAAAGGCGAATTAGCTACTAGAAGCTGCCCTTGTGTCACTTCTAATGGGAATCCCGCCTGCCTTCTCGCCCCGTCTGCTTGCTTTTGGGGCCCCGCGGCTGCCTCTCCAGCGCAGCGGGTTCTGCAGCCGGCCGGCCGGCCCGATGGCTTGCCTTTCCCAGGCTGCCTGTCCACGCCATCTGTGGAGCCAGGGAAGCAAAGCCAGGACAGACAGAGAGATGCAGCATCAGAGGAAATCAGCCAGTCACGCTGGGACCGCGACGCGTCCCCTCCAGCGTGCATATGGCAGGAATAACGGGGGCGAGGCTGGGGTGAGAGCTGTCCAAAAGGCAAACATCAGCGCAGGCTCCCTGCTCGCTGCCTCTCCGTTACCGCTAGTGGCTCATTCTCCCCCTCCCGCTGGAGTTCTCCCCAAGCCACGTGTGTCTCCTGCTTGGTCCTGTAGAGAAGAGAAGAGACAGGCGGGTGACCGGCGCCTCTACTGGGAATCTGCATTTGCACACAAGGCGCAGAGAAGAGGGATTCCCGCTCCTGCGAACGGCCGGGCCTGTCTCTGCGCGGGGCTCGCCTTCCGTCCCCTGCCACTCGCCTGCTTGCCGCTGCGGTTGCCACCGGTGCTGAAAGCCCAGGGCTGCCTGAACCCGTGTGCTTCCCTAGCAAGCCAGAGACTGCACTCTGCACACATACCGAGGACCTCTTGTGTTCCTTCACTAGCAAAACAGCCTTCATTGCCTCTTAGAAGTGGCCATGCACTTCAGCAGGACGAGGCAAAGCCCGCCGTGGCCCCTGCACTGGCATGCAGTTTCTTTCGGGGGGGCAAGTTTGCCCATTCTTTGAACATTTCCCGCTTTCTAACTTTGTCCCAGTGAACAAGACGCAGCCCGTTTCTACCCTTGGCTGAATTCCCCTTTCCCAACCAGAAGGCCTCCAGAAGGGTTGAGTGCAACAGCCATGATCCCCAGCTAGCATGGCTATTCTGCTTGGGAATGATGGGGGTTGAAGTTCAAAACTTCTGGAGGTTGGAGAGAGTGGCTCTGGGCCATCACAGGCACATCCAATCTCTCCTCCTGGACAGGCGGCCCCAGAAGACATCGATTCGAAAGCCGTTTCCTGCACTGCTCTTGTCCTTCCCAGTGAGAACTGGAATTCCATGCTTAAGATGTTTTGGCTTTTAGTCTTGCAACTTAAATTTGCACGCTTCAGCATGAAAGCGCTTCCTTGTGCATTGTTTGGATGCAAACCACTCTGAGTGGAGGGAGCCCCGCCCCTGCCTCACCTGGCATGTATATTGCACACAACACACATGCGGACACGCAAACACACGTGAATCTGGTCACGCAGGTTGCATGCAAACTTGTTTGAATATATTCACATTCATTGCATACATTACATCCATTGCTGACTGATGGGAGAAGAATGTTGCCATGGAGAAGTGGGGAAGCAAACCCAGTTGGCTCTTGTCAGTGGGTCCTTCCTGGGGGCTGCACCCATGGCAAGCACCCGACTGGCTTTCATGCGGCCCGCTCTTCAGGGTTGTTGTGAGCCTAAGGTGGCCAGCACCCTGAGCTGGTGGCCCCCGGGTGCAGGCTTGGTTCTAAAGGGCCTGGACTTCGCTGCGAAGCACAGGGTTGCGTATCCACGCGATCCATGAATCGAAAAGGAGGATGTTCCCCTTCAATCCGCACGTCTCTCTGAAGACGCTTCGCGAGAAGAGCGCTCCATCTGCTCTCCCTCCCTCCTCGGCTCGGAGATGCACACCCGGCGCAGTGCGCTGCAGCCATCTGGGGTTCTAGTTAATCGCTCCTCTGCCACATCCCCATCTGCCTGCACTGACCTTTTTCCTCCACACGCAAATCCGTGCCGTCATCCTCCTCCGTTCCGGAAGATGAGGAGGTCCTCTCACCCTTCCACAGCCTCGGCGTGGAGACTACGATCGCCACAAAGCTTTGGCCCCAAAAGATGCCCGAGGAGTGGGAGCGTTTCCTGGCCTCGTGGAAGGGCCGGTCATTCCATTGCGTGGAGCTAGAGACGTGCCCAAAACTGTTGATTTTAAGGGTCACGAAAAGGTTGCTGACGGATGAAACAAGTACAGCAAAATCCGACCCGGGTTTCCTCAGAGAAAGTCCTGCAGTACGATGCATGTTCAGCCAGAAAGGGGCCCTCCATGCTTAGACAGAACAAACCCCCCACTCCTGTGCATGATCAACATCCTACAACCCAATGCAGGTTCGACAGCACTGGCAGGGGATGCTGGGAGTTGTGGGATTCTTTTCTACTTAAGCATGTACGACAATCAGGCCCTTTGATTATGAGGAATGGTTGGAGCTGGAGGTTTGCGGAAGCAATGCGAGCGGTTTCGGAACTGCCAAGCAGCCATTTTTGCCAGTGTGCAAAAGGGAAAGCAGCACTTGATCTTTTCCTTTTGGAACATTTCATTCTTAAAATCAGTTGGAGACAAACAAACCAAATGTGTGCCTGGAGCAGAGAAGACGAGAAGGAAACCTTTTTCTCCTTCTTCCAGCACGGCAGAACCTGAAGGGGTCAGTCGGTGCAGCTGAGCTGTGGCTGACCCCTTTCTGGCGTGCTGACAGGGAGCAGTTCTGACCTCCTGACGAGCACGGAAACTGGGGGACTGGGAGGGGAGGGTCCTCCCAGTGCCCCCCACCCAGTGCATGCATGCGGCTTCGTCTCCCTTCTCTCAGGCCCGGAACTCAGTCGGGGCATCCAAGAACCTCACCGATGGGAGTGGGGTGAAGCGAGAGGAACGCGCCACGTTAAATTGCAGAAGCTGCCTCCACGAGGCTTATGGTGGCCACGAGTCTGGATGACTTTCAAAGGCGAAGGAGAAACTTCATGGAGGGGAAGGCTATGGATGGTTACTAGTCCTCATGGCTACTTGCCTCCTCCAGTATTAGAGGAAGTGGGCCTGGGTGCACCAGTTGCTGGGGAACATGGGTGTTATTGCACTGTGTCCTGCTTGTGGATTTCTCACGGGTGGCCAGTGGGCCTCTGTGTGAGCTGAAGTCTGGCTCAGGCAGCTGCAGCCTCTGATGTGCTTCTCACAGACATTGGCAGCTTGTGTTGGGAAAGTTCAGCTAAATCCTGGCAGGAAAGGGTTGCTTATGTGCCTTTGTGTTATAACATCAAACCTGCACCCCTTTCTCAGGAAGCGCCCCAAAATCCCGAGCCAGGTTACTGTTTGGCGTTTGCTGATACTTTAAGAAGTGGGACCTGGTGGCGCCCGCAAGACGCGGCCCGTGCTGCTGTCTTGCCGATCAGCCAGGGCTGGCGAGGCTGCCAGGTTCGCAGCACTGCAGTCGCCCTCATCTGCACGCCAAGCCCCTCAGTGACCCCTGTGCCTCAGTGCTCCTTCTGTCCACCTCCTGCGATCAAATGCCATCGTCTGGAGCCCCCTCTGCAGATTTCTCACCTTCTTCTGACTGCGCTCCCCTTTTTTCCTCATCAGCTGCCCATCTGCTGGGCCCATGTGACTCAGAATCTATGAAACACTCTGTGTATGCGTAGGGCCACAGGGTTGGTGGCCGGTTTGCAGGGGAAGCCGTATGAGGCGAGACTGAAGGAACTGGGTCTCTTCAGCCTGGAGAAGAGGAGACTCGGAGGGGATCTGTTGGCGACATGCAAGTACATGGGGGGGGGGGCACACAGAGGCGGGTCATGACCTTTTTCCCCCTGCAGTGGAGGGAAAGCTGCATTCCAGTGGAGCAAAGCTCAGGGAACCCAGGTTCCATTTAGATGCCAGGAAGCACTTCCTGACAGTCGGGACCCCAAGGGTGTGGAATGGCCTTCCCCGGGAGGTGGTTGAGGCCCCACCGGTGCGGGTGTTCAAGGATAGGCTGGACGTGCACATGGAGGGCATGTCGTGAGCGGAGCTGGCTGGTGCCAGAGGTCAGTCTAGATGGCCCAGGAGGCCCCTTCTGACTCTCTCTGTTTCTACGTTTCTAAAAGCTTGTAGTTGGCGGCGAGAACCACGACCTGGGAGCAGGCTGTCCTAAGTCACTGCAGGGGGCCTGGGTGATCTCACCCATAAAAACGCCGGGGTCCAAGGTGATTCAGTCTTCCCTACGGGTCCTGGGGATTGATTCTTGCCCTTAGCAGAGAGGCCCTGACACTGGCTATCTAGGGCTGGAGGAGAGCTGGCCCCCCTCGCCCTGCACACCTCGCACACGAACGCGGACCCTGCCGCCATCTGAGCAGGAGCAACACAGGTGCGGAGTGGTCCTCGGAGACACCTACCTGTAAGGTGTTTACTGGGAAAGAGGTGATGGGCGGGAAGTCCAAGATCTGTAGGTCGTGGACGTGGCCATTCATGACCACAGCGGGCAGGTAGACGCGGCGGGCCTTCGTGGGCACGCAGACCTCGCTGAAGTCGTTGTACAAGAACTGGCGGACGATGGCGCTCTTCCCGACCCCTTGAGCACCCAGCACGGCAATCTTGAACGTTGTCACCATGCCTCCCGGCCGCGGGCCCGCTGCACGACGTGGCGATCGGCTCCTCGGCGCGGCCGGCTGCCTGTGTGCTGGGAGGAGGGCCCCCCGGCTGCATATTCCGGCAGCGGCGGGTTCAGCCACAGTCAGGAACCATTTCCGCGCTGGACCGGCCTGTCACTGGAGAGCGGGAGAACTCTTGTCAGGATGGGACTTGCGCCTGTTCTGCAGCAGAGCAGCAAGGCAGGAGGGTCTCCGGCCTTCTTTACGTATTTACTTAAAACATTTATACCTCGTCCACCGCTTCAACATCTCGGGATGGCTTACAGAAAGAACGATAACATAGCAAAACAGCACAGCATCCAGCAATCGAGATAAAAACCCAGGTTACAACCAAACAAACATTAAAATAGTAAAGAAAGAAAAAGGGTTTCACCTGATGCTGAAAAGAATAAAGCGTTGGCGCCAGGCGAAGCTCTCTGGGGAGCGTGTTCCACCGTTGGGGCGCCACCGCAGAGAAGGCCCCACTCCGGGGACACTCCCTCCAGATCTCCTTCAAGGAGGGCTCCCGGAGCAGGGCCCCCGCCTCAGATCTCAAGGGGTGGCGGGGAGGCATACAGGGAAGGAGGCGCTCCTTCGGGTATCCTGGACCCAAGCCTTTTAGGGCCTTATCGGTCATCACCAGCACCTTCAATTGGGTCCGGACTTCAGTGGGCAGCCAGTGCAACTGACAGAGGACCAGCGTTATATGTGAGTATCTGCCGGTCCCCATTAACATCCTGGCAGCTTTGGGCTGAACCAATTGAAGTATCCGGACCATCTTCAAGGGCAGCCCCAAGCAGAGCACGTTACAGTAATCCAACCGGGAAGTTACCAGAACATGTGTCACCGTTGCCAAGCAGTGCTCGTCCGGGTAAGGACGCAGCTGATGGATCAGTCAGAGCTGAAGCAAAGCGCTCCTTGCCACCGCCGGCACCCGGGACTGCAGGGACAGCTCTGGGTCGAGGAGCACCCCTGTCCTTCTGGGCTCAGAGCCCTGGCCACAGAGTCTCCCTAAAGCCTTCCGAGCAGCTGGCTGCTGCAGGTCCCCCTTCCTCCTTTGAGCTTACCCAGTCCTCTCCGAAAGCCAATCCTCTCGGGTTCAGTGTCCCCTCTCTTGCATGTGGGGGTGTCGTGGAGCTGGGGTGCTCAGTGATGTCGTGCTGCTGCTTTTTTAGCAGCAGGTAATGACCGCCCTTCAGGATTCCCTGAATTTTGCAAAAATCTGCACCACATCGGGCGAGTAGAGTACCGGTTGCCACAAGCCGGACCTTTCGCAGGTGTTTTGGGGTGGGATGGCTTGATCTGGAAGGGCAGTTAAGACCTGGGGGACAAAGCTGCTAGCATCAGTTTGCTAAAGTTGTTCAACAATTCTGTGCACTTTTGGGAGTGCCAGGATGAGCGTTTGCACGTTGATTTGGAGCTAAACTGGATTGGAAATGGAGGCAGAGCTGAGTTTGTTCTCTGCCAGAAATTTTTTTGTATTCCAGATTCCCTAAACACCTGAGGGGAAAGCAGCCTCTCTTGGAGCATGCCATGGTACACAAAATCATGCCTGGTGTCAGGAAAGTGGACAGGAGACATTTTTTCCCTTTCTTCTAATTCGGGGGTGGGAGGGGGACAGTCATCCCATTAAATGAATGAGGGGGTGGGAAGCAGAATCAGGACAGATGCAAGGAAGTGGAATTCTCACCTGGTGAAACTACAGGATTTGCACCTACGGCCCTGATAGGGGGAAGGCTTTAAAAAGTGGGTTGCACCAATACATGAAGGCTAGCCAAGCTTCCAGTCCTCAAGGCTCCAGGCTGGCTCCAGTACCAGAGGCGGAGGAACCGAGGAAGGAGGGTCCTGCTGTACTCCTGGCCTGCCTGGGGGTTTCTTTTGCTAGGTGGGGACTGAATGCCAGACGAGAGGACCCAGCACGTTCATGCTCCTAAGGTTGCCGTAGTACCCATTTTTGCTCAGCCTCGGCATACGCACACGTCAACCTACCATCAGGGAAATGCAATACTTCCCCCACAGCTGCCACAGAAGGCCTGGTTTGCATCCATTCTCTGGAAACTGCTGAAACTTCAGAAGAAGCCACCGGACCATTTCCTCATCTCCCTGCCAAAGCTCCCACGCCTTTAGCCGCTGCCAGATGGAAGCAGCTCAAACAGGCAACTGTGCCCTTTGCCATAAGCTTTTCCTGTGGGAGACTGGCCTGTTGCAAAAGCACAGGAGCACTAGCAGAGAAAAAGTTGGCAACCCAACTCTGTCCCTCTCGACAGCTGGGTTTTCACTGAAGAAACTTCAACCGGGCTGAAGTTAATAAAACTCTCGGTGACGCAGCTCCTGCACGTGCCTAATGCGATTTCCTAGTATGGATCTTTCCAATCTAATCAGGGCAGCGATGTATTAATTCAGGAGGCGGCTGCAACGATCAAGCCCAGCCAGTCACGTGATCCACATCCAGCACCCTCTTGGCAGCTCCTAAAATCCCCTTTTCCTCAGCAGCATCTGGGAGCTTGTATCTAATGGTGGGGGCAGCTCTAAAGGCAGAATTTCTTGCTCCCCTCCACAAACAGATGTTTGTTAGCAAGGCAGGATTTCCTAACACATACTGGAGGACACGATCCAGCGCACATTTAGAGAGAAAAGCTCCACAGCTCTCCAGGCAGCTCTGTCCAAACACACACGGGATTGCTCAACTCACTGGACAGCTTTCTGTCTCGATGCGTAATGATTGTGCCTCAACTGTTGCAAACCATGTGTGATTGAGCAAAGGTGCCCTCTTGTCCTCTTTTGCAGAGGACTGCCCCCTATTTGAAGGGACATCCAGCCTGAGGCCAGTGCAAAGATACCGACCACCTGAAGGAAGAGCTCTGCCCGCCAGCAGCACCCGGTCGCCATTCTCTGCGCGAGGATCTGATGGCCTCACTTCTCTATTATGCCTCCCCTTCCTGGTGGCTCAAGGCCTCTTTTCCGGCCAGTTCAGAAATGGCCACCCTCATTTGAGTCCGAACAGCGGTTCCTGCTGTGCAAGAAGAGAGCGTGCTATTTTGCAGGGCAGTCCTCTCTTGGAAGCTGCCCTCTGCTTGAAAGACTGCTCTGTCCAAGCTTGGTTTGAAAGGACAGAACTGAAGGCGCAGGTGGGCCTCAAAGCTGCCCCAGCACGGCGCCTGAGCAATACCCTCAAAGGTCGATGGGCCACCTGGCCACTTGCTCCCACACAGAGGAAGCTTTCGTTGCCTTCCTGCGTTGGCGGAAGCCGGGGTCTCCCTGGGCACCGGCACCGGTGTTCACACAGGGCTGCCCAGCGTGGTTCCAAACGGCACCCAGTTCTTAAATTAGCATTTGAAACATTACTTCCCAGTTTTTGAATACGTGTGCACAGATGGGTGTCGAAGCCATGCAGCTTCCTAGCAGTTATAACGAGGCCCCCAACCAAGGCTAGCCAAACAGTGGACGAGTCGTCCCTTTGAAGCTGGCGTCCGTGAAGTGCCAGCAGGTCCTCAGCCCACCGCACCACAACAGCGAGTGTTCACCCTCCCAGGGCTCCAGGACCAGCCTGGTGGAATTAGAAACAGAGAAACAGAGTGAGTCAGAAGGGACCTCCTGGGCCATCTAGTCTGACCTCCGGCACCAGCCGGCTCCACTCACGACATGCCCACCAGAGTGCAAGACTGAGATGCAGCTGGGCATTCTTGCCCAGCTGCTTTCAGGACAGCCGTCTCCCCTCTTTCCCTGCACCCGGCTGCCTTCCTGGGGCCTTGGCGGCAGGACTGATGCCTGCAAGTTTGAGAGAACCCTTGTGGCTTCCTTTCCCTGGAAGCTCCCCAGGGCAGTAGAACGCTCTCCTGGTCGGTGCCAGGTACGTGCCTGCCCTCCACTGCCACCCCTAGTGGGGAGCAATTCCCATCAACCCCAGCCAGCACAGCCAATGACGAGCAGGGATGTCCGTGCAGCCGGTTGGACCGGGTCCTCAAAGGCTCAGCTCCAGCTCCGCCACCAATGCCGGGCAGCCGCCGGTGCGGGTCCTCGGGGCCAGTGAAGGCCACCCTGGCCTACCCAGAGGGGCTGCACTGAGGATGCCTGAGATAAGGTGTGTGCTCTTCGGGGTACGCAATGCAAACTGTATTAGGGAGAGAGAAACTGCTGCCGTGGAGCTCGCAAAGAGGAACCGCACACCAACAGGACAAATCCGGTTGGCCGGCCTGGGTCCCGATAGCCTTGCTGGGGGTCTTCAGAGGACCCTCCCCACAGCTGCCCGATCACCATTCATGACCTTTGTATTCCCACACTGAAAGTTTGAATTTCTCTCCCAAGATCTAGTTTTAAGGTCAAATTTGCTGGTGTTCTGGCCCCGACCCCTTGGTCACTGGCCCTGCCCCTTTCCCTGAGGCTCCACCCCTCTGGCACTCAGCCAAGCCTGCTGATGGACCTAGAGCATCTTTCTCAAGCTGCAAGAGGTTCTGTACACCCGGTTTTTGTCTCCCCAGAAGCAGCCAGCCTGCCTTCTCCACACTTTGGCTTCAGCCACTGCATTTGCCAGGGGGTCAAAAATTTCTGGGATGTGTGAGATTAGAGAAGCCTTCCCCAACTGGACTACAGCCCCCATCATTCCCAGTCAGTGTGGCTTACAGATCTGCTGGAAGCAGCAAGATGGAGGCACCTGGGTTAGATGGCTGGGCCAAGATCAAGGCCAGATCACCCGCTCACCTCTTTCAACAGCCTTGGACAAAACTTTCTGCAGGGATGTTTTCTGGTGGGTTGTGTGAATCAAGGCTCCCAGGCCAGGTCTGCCCTGAACAGTGCTGGCCGGCGACTCAGCTCCCGGTGCAATGGAGAGGAGGTGCCCCCAGATCCTCCCTCCCAAAGGACCCTGCAGGAGAGCCAGCTGCTGACCAAGGAAGTGCTGTGGCTGGGCAGAAGGTTAGCTGAGGCGGGAGCAGGGCCTTCGAAGGGGTGGCTCCTGCAAGGCCACATGAGGCCTGACATAACCT